AGTTGCATATAGAGGCACCATATTCCCCCCCCCCCAGTGCTTAGGGGCTCTAAAGGTATTCATTCAGCCCTGGGTCTGAATGTGGCCCTCAATGCCTATGTATCTGGCCCCCAGGACTCTCCACAAGACACCCCATGGCTGCTCCTCCAATGCTTTAAAAATGTTCATTGCTTTTTTCCAAGAATAGCATCAAGGAACCAAGAAAACAACAAACAAAGCAATACATGCTTCATCCTCCCACCTTCTGGAGAACAGCTAATTGTCATAACTGGTTGCTCAAGTCTACAAAGGCTCATCATAAAGTCACATTACTCATTATTACATCAGTTGGTTCAATGGAAGTCCTTCTGGAAACGCTTGTGGGTGACTGGAGGTTATTTGTTGTCACTCTGTGTGTTCATATGCTTAATAAAACAGAAGTACATTTCAGTATTATTATTATTATTATTATTATTATTATTATTAATACTCCACCCATCGCCACTCTGGGCAGCTTACAGCATATCTGAAAACATAATAAAAGCATCAAGTATTGAAAACCTCCCGATACAGGGCTGCCTTCAGATGTCTTCTAAAAGTTGTGTAATTCTAAAAAAATCACTTTGGCCAGATTGATTATTTCTTCCTACGATTTGTATCTTTGAATTGTGATAATGCATCTCCTTTATGGAGATATTTGAGGTTGGTGTCCTAAGTTAAAAGTACTGTAACATCCATTGCTCTGACCTCCCTACACTGGCATATGTGTCCCAGAAAGTTGGCCATGAAATATTGCAACACTTGGGCTGAAAAAGATTCCCCACCCCTATATGAGAGAGGACATATGTTTGATGAATTTGTTCTTTGCCAATTCCAATAGGAACTAACTTGAGCTTCCCCTTTTGAACTATCAATCAGAACACACCTTTCCTTTGGATTTCACACTTCCCCAAATGTTGCAATGCAGTTCTCCTTCCCCCAAAAATGCTAAAAAATGCTTCTAAAATCATATTTTAGGCTAAAATATGTTTAGAAAGGTGTACTTCAAAAGAAAAGACCATTAAAAGTGCACATTTTGGGAGGAAATACATAGTTTTGAACTTATTTCAATGTGTACAATGGTACCTCGGGTTACATACGCTTCAGGTTACAGACTCCGCTAACCCAGAAATAGTACCCCGGGTTAAGAACTTTGCTTCAGGATGAGAACAGAAATCGTGCTCCGGCGGCCCGGCAGCAGCGGGAGGCCCCATTAGCTAAAGTGGTGCTTCAGGTTAAGAACAGTTTCAGGTTAAGTACGGACCTCCGGAACGAATTAAGTTCATAACCCGAGGTACCACGGTACTCAAAAGAGGAAACAGAGCAGGACCAGTGAGTGATGGGGACTGGGGCAGGGACATTGCCTGGATAGATTCCTGAGGGCCATATAGAAATGCCTGGGGGACATACGCTTCAGGTTACAGACTCCGCTAACCCAGAAATAGTACCCCGGGTTAAGAACTTTGCTTCAGGATGAGAACAGAAATCATGCTCCGGAGGCCCGGCAGCAGCGGGAGGCCCCATTAGCTAAAGTGGTGCTTCAGGTTAAGAACAGTTTCAGGTTAAGAACAACCCTCCAGAACGAATTAAGTTTTTAACCTGAGGTAGCATTGTATTTAAATACAAATCTGTTTGCAGGTAGTTGTTTTCTTTAAAAAAAGAAAAAAGAAAAACCACACAAATCAAGGTAGAAATTTGGAAACAGAAAATATTTATGAACACATGTGAAACTCACACAGACCAGAAATGGACTTTGTTTTTTGAGTATAAGAAGCTTCCTTATACTGAGTTCAGGTCATTGGTCAGTATTGTCTACAGGGCAGTGGTTGGCAGCTTATCCACATGATATCAGTTCTCCAACCAAGCAAAGTTTACAAAAATGCATATATTAGGGGAAAGTGTGCATTAAATGTACGTATATATTTGTGAAAATAATATACAAAAATGCATTATCTCAAGAGAAATAAGTTGAGAAAAATGTGTACATTGGTCCAAACTGCATACAAAACTGGGTTTTTCAGAAGAAGGGCACGCTATAATACTGAATAATTTTCATGAGGATTTAACAAAACAGAATTGTGGATCACTGCAGAAATAGAAAGAACTGAAATTCAGATGGGGAGAAATGAGAAACTGAGAGAACCAAGATGGGCAGATCCTTCTATCCCTATTAGAGGATGCAACTGATGAACTGGTCAACAAAATAGGCTTCTGTATCCTTGGAGGTCTCTCTGTTTTCCAGACAAAAATATATTGTGGTCGAAAGCGTACTTTGCTTCGTGACTCCCCCACCTTCCTAAGGTTCAAATTCCCATACCTTCCAGTACCTTGATGGCAAAATCTGGGACACAATCTTCAGGGATGCCATCTTCCTGATTTTTCTCATGAGGGAACAGAGGCCATTTTGGACACTGTGATCTCACACAATTTTGTGCCACGATTTCCCCCTTAAAAACCACTTTTTTCAAGCATAGCACCCCAAAACACACATTTTGGGGCACCATGTGAGATTGCAGGCACAACAAAGTGGGGTTTTTTGGGGGGGGGGACTGCAGTGCGAAATTGCTCTAGATCAAGGCATCCAAAATGGTCACCATTGTCTCACAAGAAAAAAAAAAAAGATTGTCCCACTTTTTCCAAAACACTTGCAGGGTATGAACTCCATGGTGTTTCCTGCTTGGCAGGGGGTTGGACTCGATGGCCCTTGTGGTCTCTTCCAACTCTATGATTCTATGATTCTAACAATAAGGGTTTTATAGCTGTGGAGTCCTTGTTCTTAGCTGGTTATCAATTGTGGGGTGGGATGTACTACTAACACGTTTCTGGGAGGGTAATCCCTACTTAGATCGAATCTACACTCATGGTTTATAACGTTAAAAATGTGTTATTAAAATGTGGCACTAGAGGGCGCTGCAGAGCAGCAAAGAGAAACTGCCATTAAACATTATAGAATGTTGTATTTAATAACATTTAGAAAATCAGTGTAGATCCAGCCTTAGTTGGGACTCAGCCACACTTCTGGTTGCCCCATGCCTGCTTGGAAAATATGCTCTTTGCTTCTGAATCAGAACAAACAGCATGTCAGGCTTCTGGGAATGGGTTTCCTCCCCCGTGGCTGCAAATGAGCAGATCAAATGAAAGGGAATTCTTACCAGTTAGTTTCTTTAATAAACACAGCGAAGGACAAAATAAAGCATCTAACCAGAATGGCAGGGCTCCCAATTAAGGTCACTCCCCCCCACCTTCCATCCTTATTAATCTACGTCATTCCTACATCTTGTAATCTGAGCTTGGAGCCTCTGTGTTTTCTGTTCCAACACTTTCTGAGCTCTCCGATACTTTGGGGAAGGAGGGTGGATACTTTACAGAGACTATGAATCTGTTAACTCTCTCTTTTCCAGTGTTTCTTCTTCTAGCTGTTCCCCATCCAGTATTTCCCAGCTTCTGCCTTCTAAACTATGTCCTTCTGCAAACCACTGTTCCAAATCTATACTGTCCTCCTGCTCCTGGGAAGATTCAGGATCAGGAGTGGGGGTGGCTCCCACCATTATTCCTCAGTGCAGCCCTCCTCAGCACCGTCCCTGACACAGCAGTCCACAGAAAACCCGATAGCCGTTTGGTTCGATTCAGCGGTAAGCCACAGGTTTTCCTGGGGAAAAGAGGCAGAGCAAACAGAGATGGACAAGCCCAAAGCTTGTGTGTCCTGGTCTCTGTAAAACTGCATGAGCTAGGAATGCATTAACATTTAAATGAAATGGATAGGTTGGAGTCAGAGCACATTGCCAGAGCATTGTGTTTTGCATGCAAAAAGTCCCGGGTTCAGTCATTCACAGAGGCAGGTTTAGGAGAATGTGACCTGTTCAGTCACACTGGGCACGGAGCCCCGGGGGCACTGTAACTGTAATGTAGAATGGAAGGTGATAAGGGGGAGGGCAATTTTTGGTGTTGCGCAAGTCACTGCTGAAATTGGAGTCCCCAAGGTCTCACTGACATCTCCAGTGAAAACAATCAGAGGATGTGAAGGATTCTTCTAAGAAACTCGGGAGAGCCACTTCCTCAGACACTAGGTCATGCCAGGTCACAGTGTGACCCAGTATAAGGCAGGTCTCCTGCGCTCCTGTGAAGAATATAAGGTTTGTGCATAAAAACCCAGGATTATTATTATCATATTTTTGCCCCATAGGATGAGTCCAGCTTCTTTCTACCTTCAAATGAGACATTTTTGTTCCTCCTCCCATACTTCAGGTGGGCTATTTACCTTTGTGTGTTTAAATTTCCTTTTGTACCACGTCTGAAGTGCATGATTTTTAAAAAATAAAATAAAAACATGTTTTCTTCTTCAGCTGGGAAAAAATGCTCTGTGAAGAGAGGGGAGGGTGCTTGTTGATGTCACCAACCCCCCAGCCAATCAGCACTCTGCACAGCCTCTTCGTCTTTTGACTGATGGGACTCATTCTTCCTGAGATGGGGTAACAGCGTTGCTGCGAGTGTGCTTTCTGAAGCAGAGCAGCTCATGTTTTTATGCACATTTGCACTCTCCCATGTTTCCTCCAAGTAGCCCCCAACTGGGGTATGGATTTTGTTCTGTCTCTAACATGCAAATGAGGACTAGCTCTCATAACTATTATGTGGGGGGGTTGTGTTTTTTTTAATGTATTCCCCTTTTCTTACTAGTGAAATGTTTTTCTCCCAGCTTGGATTGGATGAAAAATGTGGCACAGCAGCCCGGACCTAGCTTAACAATGGCTTTGCCGGCTGCATTTGCCCTGTGGGGTTATCGGCTGGCTGTCCCTGCTCCCAACAATGGCCTTGCATTCGTTTGCATGAACTAACATATTAATCACAGCGAAGGGTCTGCGCCAGGCTTTCGCATGGTAGCACAGGTGTGCTCCTGTGTTGCCGTGCAGACTGAAGCGAGCGAGCGAGCGTGTGGTGCATCTGTGGCGTGTGTTTGCACGTGCCTGCTCTCTCTGACTGGCTGTCTCCTGAGCTGCTACTCTACTCTCTCTCACCCATTCACTGTCTAATAGGAAACAAATCTGCCCCTGGACATGCCAGGGCTTAAAATAGATGTTGAGACAGCAGCCTTTCCCCTTCTTCAGCAGCAACAGCGTCAGTAGCAGGAGCGGCAGAAGCAAGGAGAGGGAGAGCAGAGGAGATGGCCGACTAGATCTGAAGGAGAAGCCTTCTTTCCCAGCTGAGAAAAATCAGAGCCTTGACAAAGGTAAAGTAACTGGGGCCAGCTGGCTCTCTTGTTGTCTCTTTGTGGCACTTCCACGGCAGGACAGAGCCTGTGGCTTCCTTGGTCTTTCCCCCTTGCGCTGTGCCAGCAAGGAGATGCTTCTGCCTGTTCTCTCTCTGAGAAGCTGCCATTTAGAAGAAGCAGGCTATTCAATGCTTTGCATGTTTGTATGTGGCAGGGAACTGTGGCAGAACTTTGGCAGGATCGAGGCTTGGTGGAGTGGGAGGTCTCAGGCTGCATGCATGACCCTGTGATATTTACTCTCTGCTACCTAACTTGTCATCCCAACAGTGCGGTGGAAGGAAAACGAGAGCCAGATTCATGCTGATGTGCATATAAGGGTGGGGTATCTATGGGTCACATAGTTCAGGGGATTGATCCTGGTCTCAAAGAAAATGTGCCTCCTTCCCAAACACTGCTGCCACGCAGAACTCGTTCTTGGAGCTCATGTCTTTCAAAACATATCAAAGCTCTTGAAAGGCTGCTTTTTGGCCAAAAAAATTGCCGGGCTAAGAACCAGCGCAATTGGGCATGTGGATAATTTTGGAAGGACTGAGGGGGGTAGATTTGAGGACTCTGCTTGGCTTTTAGGCTTAAACTGGATACCTCGAGCCAGAGACGTCTTCTTCACACTCAGTCTCATTTTTCTGCCTCTGTAAAGTGGGAACAATTGTGGCCTCCCACTGAGAGGACAGATAAAATAAGGGCTCTTATGCATGAAACCCTGTGAAAAAGATAGATAACAAGGAGAGAGTTGCGCAGCATGGGAACATGGCTTCTTATCTTGCTCGTCTTATGAGGCTGGGAAGCAAGGCAGACAAAACAACAAGCAGGAGGCAATCTCTACTTTCCCCTCTGCTAGTGCTCCGGTGGGAGCATTAAAAGAGCAGTGCATCGTGTGCAACATCGTGCAGGAAGAAAAACCTCTCCCTCCCCACCCCACGCATGTATTCTGAACAGGGCTGGTCCATGGAGAGGAGTGGATCTGTTGCATCTGATCTCCAGCCTGGAAGGGTGCCCCACCCAGTGCTTGATTCCCGTTAAGCTAAAGGACCATCGGCTACCAATCCTTTAGAAACACAGCTGCCTTGCTGCAAAAGCCACGGGCCCAAGATGAGCTGTTCCAGGAGGGCCGGGGAACCTGTGGCTCCCCAGATGTTGTTGGACTCCATTTCCCATCAGCCCCAGACAGCATGGCCACCGGTCAGGGATGAAGGGAGTTGCAGTCCAGCCATATCTGGAGGAATCTGGTTTTCCCACCTCTGTGTTATAGCCCAGTAGATGGAAAAGCTTTATTTCCCTTCACAGGCTTGTAAAACCTTCCCCTGCTGGGTTAAAGCACTCAGGTTTCAGACTGGCTGCCACCCCCGAATGTAATACTTTATTTTGATGTAGCAATGAAGGAGAGGGTTGTTGTTTTTCTACTCCTGGACCTTCTCATGAAGGGTAAGGAAGAGATGGTGTTGGCACTCAGCTCACTGGCCTGAAGTCCCCCTCCTTGAACTGTCTGCTATCAGGGGCTCAAGCAGACTCCTCCATCCCCCATTTTGTTCACAATCCACAGGCCGCAGAGTCCTTATAAAAGCAGTTCTGCTTTCAATCGGTAAACAAGGGGAAGATAGAAAAACCACCGCCGTGTGTGAGGGCATCCCTGTTTCACTCCCAGACCGATACGCAGGCACAGCTTGCGCCAAGTTCAGAAAGTACAGAGCAATATTCTAAACAATTTTACGCAATTCAGAAACAACCAATCATTTCTGGTGATTGTGTTAAGCGTGTGTGTGTATGTGCACCCATTTCTGAACACAATGCGATATCCTCTGCATTACCCAGTTCAGATTTTTGGTATTATCATCATTTTTGCCTGGCACCACACCCAGCAGCAAAGGCTCCAGAGAAAGCTGTCCTCTTGAAGCAAGTCAGCACCAAAGTGGATGTGACAGCGTGATGGAGCCTATGCTTTGAAATCAGACATTCCCAGCAGTTCTGAATGAAGACATGTAGCCACCTGAGATGGCCCAGCAAATACCACTCTCTGCTTTTCTTTTTCCTCTTCCTCCTCATGCTCTGTACTTTGACTTTTGCCTCTGCTACAGCAAGGGCAGGTGAGTCAACAGGCTGTCACCTGTTCAGAAGGTGGGCAGTTCGAATCCCCGCAACGGAGTGAGCTCCCGTTGCTCGGTCTCTGCTCCTGCCAACCTAGCAGCTCAAAAGCACGAAGTGCAAGTAGATAAATAGGTACCGCTCCGGCGGGAAGGTAAACGGCGTTTCCGTGCGCTGCTCTGGTTCTCCAGAAGCAGCTTAGTCATGCTGGCCACATGACCCGGAAGCTGTACGCCGGCTCCCTCGGCCTGTAAAGTGAGATGAGCGTCGCAACCCCAGAGTTGTCTGCGACTGGACCTAATGGTCATGGGTCCCTTTACCTTTACCTTACAGCAAGGGCAGGTGAGTCAACAGGCTGTCACCCAACAATGACTCACTCAGAAGAAGGACCCTATATCAAGGAGTGAGGAATCTTAATCCCAGGGACCCAGTGAGCTCTTCCAAGCATCTCTCTCTGATCCTCAAAACTAACCCTTTTTTGCTATCCCAACTTCAGAACCTGAGAGTTTTTGCCAGGCTGGAATTTGTCCTTGAACTCTGGAATGACTCTTACTTTGAGGGATAGGGAGGGATTGTGTGGAAATCAGCCTCCTGTACAAAGGTCAATTTTACACCTGCTGCGCTGCCCACTTTGGCCTCTGGCCTCACTCAACACCGGCATGTCTACAGGGTCAGTCTCAAACTGAGACCTTGTATTGGGGCAAGTGGCTATTTTTCTGGGGCAAGGCGTCGATTCTTTCTGAAGTTCAAAGGGCATTTGTCACGGCAGCAAAGCCATGGGTAGTCTCTTCAAGGCCACTTCCCCCCACAATGCCTTGCTCTGAGGAGTGACTCTTTCTCAGAGTAAGGCATGAGGAGCAACAGAGGAGATGTGGATGGGCAGTGGGCAGCCTAGAGAAGAGTTTGGATTTGATATCCCGCTTCATCACTACCCTAAGGAGTCTCAAAGTGGCTAACGTTCTCCTTTGCCTTCCTCCCCCACAACAAATGCTCTGTGAGGTGAGTGGGGCTGAGAGACTTCAGAGAAGTGTGACTAGCCCAAGGTCACCCAGCAGCTGCATGTGGAGGAGCGGGGAAGCGAACCCGGTTCACCAGATTACGAGTCCACCACTCTTAACCACTACACCACACTGGCTCCTCCTAGAGGAGGCACCACTGCACTGCTCCTCAAAGTCCTCTGCCTAAGATGTGTCTCAAATGGCCTAAACGAGAGGGCTAGATGTGGGCCTCAGGTTCAGTCCTGGCATCACTCCACAGGATCAGACAACAGAGGGTGCGAAAGACCCTCTGCCTGGGATTCTGAAGAACTGCTGCCTGTCAGAATACCAGGGGTTAGCAAACTTTTTCAGCAGGGGGCCGGTCCTCTGTTCCTCAGACCTTCTGGGGGGCCAGACTGTATTTTGGAAAAATAATGTGAACGAATTCCTATGTCCCACAAATAACCCAGAGATGCATTTTAAATAAAAGGACACATTCTACTCATGTAAAAACATGCTGATTCCCAGACAGTCCGCGGGGTGGATTTAGAAGGCGATTGGGCCGGATCCGGTCCCCAGACCTTAGTTTGCCTACCCATGGAGTACACAGCACTGGGCTTGGTTGAAAAATAATCTGACCCAGCAGAGGCCATTTTTAATATTCTGAAATAACTTCCTAATAGCTGCAGCTGCAATGCTCCCAGCCTCCCAGAATGGGTTTGGCACCTCCTATCTCCACTGCAAAAAAGTGGATTGTGTCGCACATTCCCCCAACCTGATTCTGACAGAAAAGAGCTGTGAAGTGGCAGGCTGAACATATTCCAAAGTTCAGCAAGAGAGGGTCAGATAGATTGATACAACAGCAGCGTTTGGATAGGCATACGATGAAGTCACCTCTGGGCACAGTTGCTGAAATGAGAGGTGCCGGAGACCCCTAATGTCCAGCTTTTGTGGAATCTGCCTGAGGTTACTCGGTGGTGAGAGAACAAAATTTTGCCCCTTCTCCAGGGAGCACCAGCTCTTTAGGACAACTTCATACATGCTAAAGCTGCGTCTTCACTGGGCATTTGCCACTAAATAGTCAAACCTGGTGAACTCACTTTTTACAGGGCATGTGCATGAAATCATGGGCAAGGTTTTGCATGTTTCTCATGTTTTGCCTGTTCAACTTCTGTTTGTTTTCCAGAGCTCAGAAAAGCTGCCTTTTTTTAGCTCCATGGAATAGCTGCACAATTTCTGCAGGCGTCCGTGGACTATTTTGTTGCTATTCTGACTACCTATGGCCTGCATAGATTACTCTAGCCATTTCCTAAGAGCAACTCTGGCATTTTAACTCTCACTTTTCCAAACAGCATTGCTTTTATATCTAATCCCTCCAAGCCGCCGGGCCTTAAATTAAAATGGGAAAGATAATGATTAGGGTGTATTTAGCCCTGTTTCAATGCACAGTAGTCCTAATGAAAATCCCCCTCACCCACAAACCTTTGGGGCTTAAGAAAGGGAGGCTGCCCACTTGGCAGGACATGTTACGAGTCGCTGTTCCACTTCTAGCTGAAAGCAACACAGCAACAATTGGGTGTTGCTAAATTATCCACAGCTGGAAAGCACCTTAAGACATTGGGGAAAGATTCCCAAGTGTGGCCCTGGTGTGTTCTGGCTCAGATTATACCCCCGGTGTCACTATGCAGAAGCAGAGCAATTCAGCTCAGCAGTTTTGAGAGCCAGGAAAGTGAGCTTCAGGTTATATAGGAAGGTGTCTTGGGGACCAGATCTAACTCTTTGTCCATCTAGGCCACTGCTGCCTACTCTGACTGGCAACAGCTCCCTGGGGTCCCAGGCATAGAGGGGAGCTTCCCATCCACCTAAGTGGTCCTTTCAGCTGGAGATGCTGGAAATTAAAACAAGGACATTCTGTATGCAAAAGTCGTATTCTTTCCACTGCATGACAGTTCCTCCCCAAAGAGAGCAGAAATGGGTTGCCTTTTCCTCCTTGGGTTCCTTAAAAACTTTCTGCCCTCCTAGTAGAAAATCAGAGCTCCCCTAAATACCACAAGAGGATCCAAGTGTGTGTGGAGCTGGGTGAATAATTTGTCTTTTTCCTCGTCTTGTAACGGGGTCAGTGCCAGGGTGGAGATATCTTGATTTTTGTTTTTCTTCTCCTCCAGCTCCTGGCTGTCTCTGTACAAAGCTCCTGGCACCTGCCAGCCTCTCTCATTACTATTCCTGCCTTGGCAGCCTCTAAGCTGGCAGAGCTGTGCTGGCCAAACATCGTTTTGAAGGAAGGCAGCAGCTGAGCTCATCCCGATCCCAACTGGTCAGGAGATGCCAGCTCAAAAGCTGAGGAAAACGCCAACCAGCGTTTATTTCTCCTCTGCACATGTGAATTCATTAAAAGTCATGTAAAATGATTGAATACCCATTATCGAACACTAAAGTGGCAGTTGGGTTTCTTCGCTTGTCTATTTGAACAAGAAAGCAGGTTTCAAATTGTCCAAGTACACGGGCAATCCAATGTAGTGTCAGGCCCCATCTGAACTACACATTTAAAGCAGGATCATACCACTTTAAACAGCTTCCCCCAAAGAATCCTGGGAGTTGTAGTTTGTTAAGGGTGCTGAGTGCTAGGAGACTACTATTTCCTTCACAGAGCTACAGTGCCCAGAGTTTTTGGAGATGTAGGATTGATTGTTAAACCACTCAGACAATTGTGGTTCTGTGAGAGGAACAAGGGTCTCCTAACAATTCCCAACCAAAATCCCTTACCAAACTACAACTCCCAGGATTCTTTGGGGGAAACCATGGCAGTTTTAAGCGGCTGTGTTGCTGCTTTCAATGCCTGGCACTGATGGGGCCTGAAACAGAAAAAGCTAGGCAGGAGCAAGCAGACAGAGTTAATAAATGCCAAACTCACCGGGTTCCTGGAGCTCAGGCTATTGAGCCCCCAAACTAGTAGTGTTTCAAGGGCAACATAGCTGCCAAGCCCAATTTGTCCCTTCGAGATCATCCGAAACAACATGTTATCCAAGTGTCCTGTTTACCACAGAGGTATTTTCCTATTCCCGTCCCTATTTTATTCCGCCTTTCTTTCTTTTCTTTTGCAAAAGGCCTTGTAAAATATGTCAGGGAAGCCTACGCCACTCTGGAAGCCAGACAAGAATGCTGTGGCCGGACTGCTCACAGGAGCGAGTCACTGGCAACATCCTATGTCTCTTTGCTGGGAGACCTGTACTGGTTGCCAGTTTGCTACCAGCCCAGGCAGAAGGTTTTTGTGTTCATTCTCAACAACTTGGGCTCCAAGTACCATAAGGCACCTACCGTATTTTTTGCTCTGTAAGACGCACTTTTTCCCTCCTAAAATGTAAGGGGAAATGTGTGTGCATCTTATGGAGTGAATGCAAGCTTCGCAGCTATCCCAGAAGCCAGAACAGCTAGAGAGGGTGCTGTGTAGCGCTCCCTCTAGCTGTTCTAGCTTCGCATGAAGCCTCCGCAGAGCACGGGGAGCATTCATCCCCGTGCCCTGTGGAGGCTTTGCGGGTCTATCCATGGCTTTTGCGGGAGGTGCGAGAAGGGACAGAGCGGGCGGCTCTGTCCCTTCCCCCACCTCCCGCAAAGCCAGGGATAGGCGCACTCCCTTTAAAGAGTTGTGCAGAGTGTGTGTGTGCGGCTCTTGGGGGAAAGCCTGCAAGCGCCACACACACACTCCACGCGGCTGGTGAAAGGGAGCACTGAGCAGAACCTGGGATACATACAGGCTCTGCTCAGCGCTCCTTTTAAATAATATTTTTTTTCCTTGCACTCCCCCTCTAAAACCTAGGTGCGCCTTATGGTCAGGTGCATCTTATGGGACAAAAAATACGGTAATTCCTTACGCTTGATCACTGAGAGCTTCTGATGAGGCACTTTTTGCAGTCTCTCCAGTGCCCCGAGGCTGAAGGCTCATCCACACTTTTGCTTGTCCCACCTCTTTACCAGTCTTTCAGACCCTCCAAGAAACCATCCCAGTTTCTGATTAGTAATAATAATAATAATAATAATAATAATAATAATAATAATAATTTATTATTTATACCCCGCCCATCTGGCTGGGCTTCCCCAGCCACTCTGGGTGGCTTTCAACAAAATATTAAAATACAGTAATGCATCAAACATTAAAAGCTTCCCTAAAGAGGGCTAACTTCAGATGTCTTCTAAAAGTCTGGTAGTTGTTGTTCTCTTTGACATCTGGTGGGAAGGCGTTCCACAGGGTGGGTGCCGCTACCGAGAAGGCCCTCTGCCTGGTTCCCTGTAACTTGGTTTCTCACAGCGAGGGAACCACCAGAAGGCCCTCGGCGCTGGACCTCAGTGTCCAGACAGAACAATGGGGGTGGAGGCGCTCCTTCAGATATTGATTTGATCCCGGAATGTCCTAGAGCCCTCCCACCTCATTCCCAAAGCTGAGAAACCACTAGCTATGCTTTGGGGAGAAGGGAAGAGCCCTCATGTCTGAGCCCTCATGCTTCCTCCCCAAAGCCCACTGCCTCCCTTACCCAGCTTTGGGAAGGCAGCACGAAGGCTGCAGCGGTGGGTGTCAAATATTGATGGGGCCACCGAAATAAAGTATTGAGGGCCATGTTTGGAAAGCCCTGATTTATCCCCACCTACAGTAGAGGGCAGCCTACTAATGTGGATCAAAAGGATGCAAGAAAACAAGATCCCATCATGTTGCAATAAGTATGTTTTGATTTTATGGTTTAGCATTGTTTATATTTTGAATTGCATATGGGAAAAACACCATAGAAGAGAAGAAAAGAGTTTGGATTTGATATCCCACTTTATCACTACCCGAAGGAGTCTCAAAATGGCTAACATTCTCCTTTCCCTTCCTTCCCCACAACAAACACTCTGTGAGGTGAGTGGGGCTGAGAGAGGTCAGAGAAGTGTGACTAGCCCAAGGTCACCCAGCAGCTGCATGTGGAGGAGCAGAGACGCGAACCCAGTTCCCCAGATTACGATTCTATCGCTCTTAACCACTACACCACACTGGCTCTCAAGCATAATCTTTCCACTGCTTAAGGCCTGTACTAGTCTTAATCCAGCCCTGGTTTACCCACTGCTGTCAGTGCTCTAGCCCCATCAAGGACTCCTTGCTTTAGCCATTTCCATTTTTAACAGGACCAGGAAGGAGAGACTCCGAGTGCAGACGATCCCCAGGCTGGATGTGGTCCTGCTAATACCACCTGTGCTCTCTTCCAGTTTAGAAACCGACCGTGGGTGGTGGTCGCAGCAGAAACACTGCCCCGCCCCAGCCCCCTCAAGAGGCCCGGGATGCAAGGGGGGGCTTGGCGGCACCAATGGCCTTCTTGTCCCGGTTCTCCCGGAACGGATCCAGGGCTCCCAGCCGGCGGATTCACGATGACACCGTCAGCCACCCCATCCTCAGCGTCTTCGAGCTGGAGAGGCTGCTCTACACAGGGAAGACAGCCTGCAACCATGCCGACGAAGTGTGGCCAGGACTCTACCTGGGAGATCAGTACGTACCAGCCCAGATGTCACTGTGGGGACGGTGGTGGGGAGGAAGTCCTGTGATCTACAGCTGCTAAGGACTGGAGGGCATGCATGACATTGCCTACTATCAGGGACTGGGCAGAGGAGGAATGGTGGAGACCACCTCCCCATCCTGACCTCTCTAGGGAGGAGGAAGAAGAAGACAGTACAGTGGTACCTTGGTTGTGAACAGGATCCGTTCCAGAGGCACGTTCGCAACATGAAAGGAATGCAACCCACAGTGGTGCATCTACGCACATGCGGGTTGCGATTCACCGCTTTTGCGCATGCGCGTTACGTCATGCGGCGCGTCTGCACATGCGCAAGTGGCGAAACCTGGAAGTAACCCTTTCTGGTACTTCCGGGTTGCCGCAGGATGCAACCTGAAAAAAAAGTAACATGAAGCAAACGTAACAAGAGGTATGACTGTATAGATTTACAACAGGGGTTTGAGGGAGGTCACAGCTTAGAGGCAGATGAGGCGGAAAGTTGGGAAATAATGGTAGAGGAGGAGGCAGGACCGGAATGGCAGTTGGCTGGCACGAAAGCCTTCCAGACCCCCCCATCTGCCAGAACCTGGCAAGCCTTAAAAGTAGGAGAGCAAAGAGCTCCAAGACAGAAAGCAACGTAGCAGCACCCGTAGAAGTGATGAATGAGGAAGTGGGAGAGACGAGGGGTTGGAGATTCACTTGGGACAACATCATTATCCAGGAGGCTGGGTACTATAATATTTATTTATTTATTTATTTATTTATTTATTTATTTATTCATTCATTCCACCTTGCCCATCTGGCTGGGTTTCCCCAGCCACTCTGGGCGGCTTTCAGCAAAACATTAAAAACAGAATAGAACTTCAAACATTAAAAACTTCCCTAAACAGGGCTGCCTTCAGATGTCTTCTATAGCCTCTCTCTGTAATTTTGAAATAAAAAAGGATGTTAAGGAACTTTTCCTTGTTTTTATACTTTCCTGGGCAACCAGCCAGGAGCTGCTGACAGCATCCTGGCACCTACAGAGGGACAAATCTCCATTTCTCTCTGTTTCTCATGTTTCCCATCCTGAAGTTCGTTCCACCCCTTTTCTGCATCCATTTGAGTTTTCTGTTTAAAAGCCTGCACGAGCAACCTTACTCCATTATGTGCACACCAGCCAGCTGCACTGAGAGGGTTGCTTAACAAGCTTCCCTGCTCCATCTTCTTCCCCCCATGTAGAGATATAGCTGCCAACCGCCGGGAACTGGCGCGCCTGAACATCACCCACATCCTCAATGCCTCGCACAGCAAGTGGCGGGGAGGGGCCGATTACTATGAAGGCACTGGCATCTGCTACCTGGGCATCGAGGCCCATGACTCGCCCACTTTCGACATGAGCCCCTACTTTGATCCCGCCGCTGACTTCATCCACAAGGCGCTGAGCAGGACTGGAGGTGAGTCCATGGCGGTAGGTGGCTTGATGGCCCAACTTTTTGCAGAACTGAATAGCTCTCCCTACCATTGGTGAGAGTTTCACATTAGGGTGACAATGGTCTGGATGGAAGTAGGACTGGTGCCTGTGAGCACACTGTCATGGGATTGGTGTGCAGAGATTCTTCCACATATGTGGTGGACCTGTAAAAGGGTAGAGGAGTATTGGGAAATAATTCATAATGAATCGGAAAAAATGTTTAAAAGTACTTTTCCCAAAACAAATCAGAGTCCTTTTTGTTGGGGATAATTCAGATGGAAATTCCCATGTGTCAAAAAAGGTTATTTATGTATGCCACTACTGCAGCCCGTGTTTCATTAGCCCCAAAGTGGAAAGCGAGTGAGGTCCTATCTAAAGAATATTGGCAACTTAAACTGATGAACTATGTGCAGCTTGCGGACCTAACATATAGAATAAGAGAACAAGAAGAACATACGTTTAAAGAAGATTGGAAGATGTTTATTAAATATATGGAAAATAACTGTGTACAGCTGAAAATGCTGGCAGCATTAAGATAAATTCAGCAGTGTAAACAAGTTTTGATGGGTGTAATAATGGAATACTGAATGGTTTAGTTTATGTAAAATATGCAGGGATTTATTATGATATGAAAAAATGAACCATGGAAAGAGAAGAAAGGAAGTCATTGACATTTTTAGGTTGTTTAAATGAATATTTTAAATTGCAAAACAGAAAATTTAATAAAAATTATACACACACAAAAAGAGATTCTTTCCCATGGTGAGAGATTAACTGTTACACCCAGACCATATCCATAGCATGTATTTAAAGAGCATGGCTTCCCCCACCCCAACCCAAGAATCCTGAGAACTGTAGTTTGTTGCAGGTGCTTGAAATGGCATCTCTGTGCATGGAGGGGTCCCCTAAAAACTCAGTTCCCAAGAATCTTGGGGGAGAAGCCAAGATCACTGGGTGATCTTGGGCCAATCACTACCTTTCAGTTTGCTCTACTTTGCAGGCTTGCTGTGAGGAACAAGTAGAAAGGGAGGACTGTGTGTGCTGCCTTGAGCATCGTGGAGGAAAAGCTGAACACAAAAGTAAAAAGTCTATGAGCCAGTGCACACTTACCTGAAAATAAACCCTGCTGAACATTGCAGGATTTATCTCTGAATATCTATGCATAGCATAAAGGGATGTGGGTGGCGCTGTGGGTTAAACCACAGAGCCTAGGGCTTGCCGATCAGAAGGTCGACGGTTCAAATCCCCACGACGGGGTGAGCTCCCGTTGTTCGATCCCTGCTCCTGCCAACCTAGCAGTTTGAAAGCACGTCAAAGTGCAAGTAGATAAATAGGTACCACTCCGGCGGGAAGGTAAACGGCGTTTCCGTGCGCTGCTCTGGTTTGCCAGAAGCGGCTTAGTCATGCTGGCCACATGACCTGGAAGCTGTACACCGGCTCCCTCGGCCAATAAAGCGAGATGAGCGCCGCAACCCCAGAGTCGGCCATGACTGGACCTAAAGGTCAGGGTTCCCTTTAGCTTTAGCTTTATGCATAGCATAGGGGAGACATTTTTTTAGGGAGTGCTACCAGGTGCCCCCACAACAGGCTCCCTCATTGGAGCTTGGCTCCAGTGTGCAAGGAAGCTGCAGAAACAGCTTCCTCGTGCAACGGCTCAATGCCGCCAGCCACAGCTCCACCCCTGGGTCAAGCCTGACCTGGGGGCAGAGAGAGGCTGCAGCATACAGGGAAGATGCCAAGTATCTTCATCATGGCTGCAGTTCTGCTACACCACTGGCGCAATATATATTTGTTTTTGACGTGTCTAAACTGCCCATCACCCTGATGGATCCCAGGGCAGTGTACAGCAAGGAAAAGATGCATCTTCATGCACCAGTAAAATTGAGGACTTGTCCATACTTCTGCTCGTCCTGTGTCTAGAATGCATGGGCAACTGGGGACCTTTTTCGGGCAAACAGCCACAATCCCTCCTGGGAAATTTCCCGGGGCCATCTGCCAATGGTGGGTGGGGCCAGCTGCAAAAGTAGGTGGAGCAACCATGCAAATTTTACCTTTGTGTGATAGGCTACTTTCTACACACACACACACACACACACACACACACACCCCTCTTTATTCTCCATCCAGGGATGCAAGAGGCATGATCAGAGTTCAAGGATACATTCCGACCAAGTGAAAACACTCAAGGGGAGTGAAAAATAGGACATGAGGGCCAGATAGTAATGCCTGGAAGGCTACATGTGGCTCCCATTCTTGAGGTCCCTCACTCCTGTGTCCCGAACCAAATGAGGATGGAAAGATAAGGTTGTGCTGGGGGAGGGAATCTCTCTGGAGTTATTTAAATTGGTGGCATTCTGGAAGAGATCTTTGCTGAGGTGCACCTCTAACCTTACGGGCCATAAATGCCTCAGCTGCCATTTGATATTCAATAGTACACTTTAGCTACTCTCAGATAATGGTTTTAATGCTGTTGGGAGCTCTTCAGACTGCAATCTGCATTACTTCAGTTTATTCTGAATGCGTTTAGTCATCCCTACTGTGTTTGGAAGGCAGGGAGCTTCCTGCTCCTTCTGTTGAGTAGGGCCCTGGACCTCTGCCCCCAAGTCCAACCCTGATGGCAACACTGTCAACACTTACTTTGCATATCTACACCTGGCACATCTATATCTCCCCTTTCTTCCTGCAGGAAGGATCCTTGTTCACTGTGCCGTGGGGGTGAGCAGATCAGCCACTTTGGTCCTCGCCTACCTCATGATTTACCATCGCTTGACCTTGGTGGAGGCCATAAAGACCGTCAAGGACCACCGAGGCATCATCCCCAACCGGGGGTTCCTACGTCAGTTGGCTGCCCTGGACAACTCCCTCAGGTTGAAACAGAGGCCATGAGTGGAAGAGCCAGAGGGGAAAACAATGTTGGAGCCGGTCCTGAGGCATTCCCAGGCCATAATTTGGGCTCTGGTATCCCTGAACTTCCACAGTTCCCGCCCTGCAGAAGCCCATTGCCTACAAGGCCTCTAATTTCTAAAGTTAGCTTCAGGTGTCAGCCAGAGGTGAGCTGGCTCAGGTTTCCGAGAGGCAGAGAGTTCCCCAACCCCTCTCTCCATTTCTCCCTCCTTTGGGAAGCCATAAAATGGGGCTCTTCTTCATATCAAGTCTCAACCTCAGACCAGGGGAGCCTTCAGCTATCTAAATCCCCTCAGAGTCCTGTGTGGTGTGGCCTGTCCCCATATTTGCTTTTAACCTTTGTTAAAGTGCTTGGGTAGTTCCTTAATGTATTTTAGCTGTGAGAATAAAGTCCTGCAGAGACTAAATGCATCAGAGCATTTTTCCACCCAACAGTGATAGGCAATTATGGGGCAAGGGAAGAAGAATAGGTTTGGTTACTGCTAGAGAGCCATGCTGCTGGTGTCTGGGGTGGGGTGAGGAGTAGTCCCAGAACAGCAACTGCCCAAGGGTCCCAGGAACTTAGAAGGGCCTTCCACTGGCATAACCCAGCTGCACCCCAATTCATCACCCTCTCTACCAAGCCCACAGGTGCTTTCAGTTACAGGTGCTGCTGCTGCTGCTTTTGAATGGGAGCCAAAATCAGCTCCCTTCCAGAATGGCTGCCCACCATTTTAAGTTACCCAAAATGTAATGCCCTGGACCACAGATTTGTAAAATGTATTGCTTTCACAGCTCTGTAGTCTGAGTTGATCAGTAATTCTGTTGCAGCCACTACAAGCAGGGCTGGGCCCTGCCCTGGTTCAAGGAAGGTTGCTGGTTGCTGGCCAGGACCATGCAAAGGGGCTTTCTAAAGCCTGGCACTGGCTTGGATGGAATGAAGTACACAGAGCACTATTCCTATTATTTTTAACCATTCTCCATCACTTAATGAGAAAAGAAACTGCATTCAGAAATTGTCAAAGGGGAGAGAAAATGTTAGTGAAATTCTCACAGGCATGGTGTGGGCTTTTACTTACTTTTACTTACTTTCAAGTAGGCCAAGGGGCATTCGTGAGCCTCTCTTCTTCCACTCTAGCTAGCTGGTCAAATATACAGAATATGGAGAATCAAGCCTTTTCTGAAATCCACTGTTGGGTCATACCTTTTTTAGGACCAACCAAACATGTCACCCAAAAGTGGCAAGTTTTGAAGAGGGAGCAAGGCAGCTTCAGCTCCAGAGACCTGCCAGGACCAGCAATGAAAGGAGGTGCCGTTTGAGTGATACCAGGCATAAAGATAAAAAGTTCAATGGTTCCTAGAGCAGAATTGCTGGTGGAGTGGATTCCCCACCTCCTAGAATGGATTTTTTGTTTGTACCAGCTGCTGAAAGTTGAAGGAGCTCAGGTTCATTCTAGGAACCATGGGGGGGGGGTGGGAGAGACCATAGATCAGTGGTACGGATATATTTTGCATCCAGGTCCCAGGCTCAATCCCCTGCATCTCCAGGTAGGGCTGGGGGAGTCTCCCTGTCTGAAACCTGGAGAGCTGCTGCCAGTCAATGTAGACAATTCTCTGGCTCTGTATAAGACAACTTCCTATGCTGCTATGAATGGAATGCTTCATCCCTGCTCCATCAGTTTGCTCCCTTGCCTACCTGTAAATCCATGCCCTCACCTGCCTTCAGTCACTCATTGCCTGTGGCTACCAGGCGAGGGCTTAAATCAGGCATAGGCAAACTCATCCCTCCAGATGTTTTGGGACTACAACTCCCATCATCCCTGACCACTGGTCCTGTTAGCCGGGGATGATGGGAGTTGTAGTCCCAAAACATCTGGAGGGCCGAGTTTCCCTATGCCCGGCTTAAATGCAAAGTTGGCTCACCAGATGCAGCAGAGAGCACACTTCCAGCTTTGCAAAGTTACCCACAGCAGATCACAGAAAACAGCTCCAACCTGGATACTCCTGCAAGAGTTCCAGCAGCTTTGGCATTTCCTACGCTGGCAATGAAAATAAATTGATGTCGTTGGCTAGAGTGTAATGTCTGGTTTAAAGATGGCTATCTTCTGCCTGTTCTCCCCCCATTGTTCATTTGGGATGTGGACATGGCACAAAAGAAGTTCAAAGGCACTTTTAGCACCAGGTGTGAGAAATGATGCCAAGGCCCTTTTCATCAGTATATAAGCAAAATTAAATCGGAGGTTCTGCACAGCTGTATTATTCAGCAATCCCTTTCCTCCATAGCCATGTTCTCCTTATAGATGCCAACCTCAGTCTGTCGTCATCCATTTCCTGGCTGCCTGCTTGCCTTCCCACCCAGGTGGCGGTCGCAGCTGCCAAGTTCCTCCCCCTTAGTCTCAGTGTTGCCCTTTTAGAACTCAGCAGGGAGAAGGATGGGGACAAAACTAGAATAAGTTGGCTCTGCCTCTCACTGGCTCCGGTCCCACCAACCTTTGGCCTGCCTGCTTTCTGTGCAGAATTATATGTGTGGAAGTTGCCCAGGGTCATTTGACCCTTTTAAATAGTCCTTTTTTCCCTTCCGATAAAAGACCATGCAAAATACTTTCTTTAAAGTTTAAAAATGACGCATTACTTCTACTTGGTACACTGAAACATTTTTACATGAATTTGTATCTGAGACTAATATTTACAGACTGATTGTGAGGCACACAGAAGCATAAAACAACACCTGCTGTTCTCACAGTTAAAACTCACTCTCTATACAGCTGATAAATGAACCAACCGGGGGGGGGGGGGACTGGCTACTTTGATGTTAATGCTACAGCATTAAGCCTTTGCATAGTATTTTGGAGGCATGATTCCCACACTCTCCACTGCACCAGTTTCAGTGCGCATTGGCCCCTACAGCTCACAAGTAAGCCCTGTTCAGCAAAGGGCTTGGGCAACTTCAGTTCAATGTTTGTTGATTGCAGATTCAGTCTCATTGCTTCCTGTTTATGCCCCCCACAGATGCAAGAAGGGGGATAGTTAGTGATGAATACCAGCTTACCTGGGAATCTAGGGTTGCCATATTTTAAAAAGCAAAAAAGAGGACACTATGACAACTCTCATTTTAAATACCTCTACTATGTGTAAGCTATAGAAGCTGTGAAATATTGCTGAGGGGAGCAGGAGAAGAGAAGAGGAAATCAAATCTTCAACCACCGGTTATGTCTATGTCTCATCCGGAAAGTATAGCCAGAGATATTTTGGCAAATTTTAAAAATCCACCCGGATGGAAATTTTACCCCTGAAAAAGAGGATGTGTCCTGGAAAAAGAGCACACATGGCAACCCTAACTATGCCCCATTGAATGCAACGGAACTTATTTCTGAATGGACTTGCATAGGGTTTAAGATGATGAGTTGAAAAGTGGGGCTGGTCTGTTGCATTTTTAATGGATATGTAGTGGTGGCTTGACAAGCTACACCCACTGAAATACAGTGGTACCTCGGGTTACATACGCCTCAGGTTACAGACGCTTCAGGTTACAGACTCTGCTAACCCAGAAATAGTGCCTTGGGTTAAGAACTTTGCTTCAGGATGAGAACAGAAATCATGCTCTGGTGGCGCAACGGCAGCGGGAGGCCCCATTAGCTAAGGTGGTGCTTCAGGTTAAGAACAGTTTCAGGTTAAGAACGGACCTCCGGAACGAATTAAGTACGTAACCAGAAGTACAGTGGTACCTCGGGTTAAATACGCTTCAGGTTTACAGACACTTCAGGTTACAGACTCCGCTAACCCAGAAATAGTACCTCAGGTTAAGAACTTTGCTTCAGGATGAGAACAGAAATCATGCTCCGGCAGCAGCAGGAGGCCCCATTAGCTAAAGTGGTGCTTCAGGTTAAGAACAGTTTCAGGTTAAGAATGGACCTCTGGAATGAATTAAGTACTTAACCCGAGGTACCACTGTACCCTCAATCTAAGCATGTGGCCAGCCTAATAGGACTGTGCTGTCTACACCACACAGTAGGAACCAACACAGATATTGGGATGATTCAGAGAGGTCACTCAAGAGGTAGTGAACAGATTATAGCTTACTAACACTTGAATACACATGGATACATACAAGCAATATAAATATATATACACACAAGCCATGCTAAAGAGAAAGCAATGAATAGGTGCAACCAACACACAGGAAGTGTTTAATTAAAGGAACAGAAGTCCCTCCAAGCCTTAATAGTGCTTTATGTATCTGCAATGGACAGAGGTGTGGTGCCATTGAGGTTTTCCTACCCTCAAATGGCCACAAACCAGGTAAAAAAATAGTCATAATGGCAGGACAATGAAGGAAACACTGGGGTATAACAAACTGATGATGATGTCATCTGGGTGTTCCCTAAAAAGTGAACAAACAAAGGGAAGCCATTTGGGGGGCGAAGTGTGAAAACAAGCAGTTCCTTGCTAAACAAGTATGTTTTGCTCCATGGATCACAAGTGGTGTAGACCTGGTATTCTGTTGTTGGTATCCGTCTGTCTCAAGTGACAATGGAGTGTGCCTCCAGGGGTGAAGTCAAACCAAAGCGACCACCCCGGGGCGCAAGTCTGGTCAGTGTCTAGTTCACACGTAAAGTAATTTCTGTGAATTCCAATAGACACAAGAGGGCAGTGTGTAGGTAGTGTGGCTGAGGGTGGGGATCACCAAGAGTTGACCCAAACCAGTAATGAATGCGCTTCCCCTTATATGCATGCAACCAAAGGTCCAGAGAAGGTCCTTTCCCAAGCTGGTTCTCTATCCTGATGTTTCGGACTACAAAGCCCATCAGCCCAAGCCAGTATGGCCATTAGTTCAGCTACTTGTTCAGTGAAGAGGCAGCAACTTCTTTTCCTGCCAGTCTCTCCTCAATTGTTCTGAAGCTGCTACACCTGTGTCCTCCAGGTGTTTCTGGACTCCACTTTCCATAATTCCAGATTTTTGGCCATGCTGGCTGGAGCTATAGTTTGTTAAAGGTGCTGGGAATTGTAGGTCTGTGAGGTCAGCAACCTTAACAAATGATAATTCACAGGATTCTTTGGAGGGAGCCATGACTGGTGAAGTGGAGGAAAATGGCTTTAAATATATGGTGGGGATCTGACTCTAGGAATGAACCTAAAGCTCACTAAAGATAACATCTGGGCAAAATATAGAGGAGCTGGGAGCCAGCACGGCTGTAACAATCTCTTCTGGCTTTCTTTTCTTCTTTTTTGTCTGCCTCCTAAGTAACCTAAAGAAGGAGAAATGAACTGGCACCTCAAGAGAGAAAGAGAGAGAGCACAAACTCAAAAAACATCCATTCAGTCCCATTAAAACCATATAGATGCTCTTTCATATAAAAGTCTGTACAATTTTCATAATCTAGGCAAAGGTCTTCCAACACAATAGGAGCGGAACAGTTAGGTCCTTTTAGACTTCATGGTCTTACCAAATGCAACCATGTGCCTTACTTCACTCGCTTCAAAATCTGGGAAGCCGGTCCTACTGCTTTTGAGGGGGGGGGCTTTCTCCTTGCTCCGCTGTGCGGTGGCCCTGGACCTCTGCCCCAAAGTCCAGCCCTGACGATACCGCTGTGCACTGGGCCCACTTCAGAACATACTTTGCTCTGTTTACAGATACACACCTTGCTCTGTTTGCTCACACATACGCACACATTCTTATCTCCTGGAGAGAGGAAAGCTCATGAGCAAATCCTGTCCCTCAACTTTTAATGGATGGAGAGGCTCATGTAGAGAGGCTAGTTTCATGGAATCATAGATTTGTGGAGTTTGAAGGGACCCCAAAGGTCATCTCATCCAGCCCTCTGCAGTGCAGGAATCCAGCCCACAGCTGTCCCTGGGTGGCTGGAACCACCAACCTTCTGGTTAACAGCCAGATGCACAGACCCATTGCAGCACTGGAAGCTTCCATCATTAGTTTTGGAGCCAAACAGTTGAATAAAACCTCCAGGTTCAGAGAAAGCAAACCCTGGAATAGCAGTTCAGGGGGGAATACGCCACTTTTGTGGCCTCCTTGTAGGATTCTTGCAGCATCTGACTTCAACGATTAATATCCTTGTCATAGTACAAATCTATGATGTGACCACACTGGGAATACTGCATGTAGTCCTGGTCACCACACCCTCTATAGGGATGTGTGTAGATGCTAGGAGATGATATATTTATTGGATATTATCCTTCCTTCCTCATGTTTGTGAGTTCAGCAGAGTGGTATCCATTTACAGCTTAAAAAGAAGCTTAGGATAATTTAAGTTTTAGTTTAAGTAATCCAGGATGCTTTACGGCAGACTGGATTCTTCTGGTATTCCCTCCTTTTCTCCCCCCTTAAAACAATAATTACACAAACAGTCTTGTAAAAGGTAAAAACAACACTTACTCACTTAGAATACTTGTTGAAGACTAACAGACACAGCAGCTTTGTTCAGACAGGCTTAAGATGGTAATTCAGTTACAAAGACATACTTAAGTCTAGCTTAAAATGGTTTCTGAGCATTGGAGCTCAGGCATGCAGAGGTTCTTCGCATTTTCTGGCTTGATAACGATGGTGATGAAAAGGAGCATGTGCCAGGCAGGTCACAGAATAGATATAGCTATGCTCTTCCCCTGTCAGGGCACTGTGAGTGTGTCTCTCACAGAGTTCACTCTAGCAAACTTACAGGAAGATTCTGTGAGATTCAGCTCCTATCATGTGCCTATCTAGCAAAGCATGAATTGTTGATTTTGACCTCATTGTAAATATCCCACAATCTCAATAAGGGAGTTCTAGATCTGGAGAAGGTGCAGAAAATGGCAACCAAAATGGTCAACTCCTCTATGGGAAAAGGCTGCAACACACACACACACACACACACACACACACACACACACACACTATTAGAACTTGCGGTCATCCACTGAAGCTGAATATTGGAAGAGTTGGGACAGGAAAAAAGAAGTACTTCTTCACTCCAAGCATATTTAGACTATGGGATTTGCTACCACAAGATGCAATTGTGCCCACCAACTTGGACAGCTGTCAAGGGAAAGAAGTATAGCAGATAAAAGTCTAAAACAGCCCTTACTGACAAACGAATTCCAAAAGTACACTCCATATTTTTTTTCTGGCCATGCTTCTGTGTTGGTATGCACAGTTTAGCAACACTCAGTCATGCAGAGTGAGGAGGAGGAGGCAAGCATTTTCTACTACTGAGTTTCATTGAAAACCATATATTAAGATTCAAACCGTGCTCGCAAATGGGCATTTTTCCTTTGCCAGCAAACTTACAAACCCAAGCTCGCTGCCCAAGTGAACCGGTGAATCGGCACTTGCAGAAAACTCCTATGAAGTCTGAGGTTGTCTTGGGTCCACCTTTTCACTGGAGGCCTCAGCAGCATGGAGGGCCTCTTACCAGTTTGGGCTGGTTTGTTGGCTGTGGCTTGCTGTGGTTCTGCCTGGGGTTGCTTCTGAAGATCATTTGGAAACTTCAGTTGGCACAGAATACAGCTTTTAGGGTTTGGACTGGCCCTGCCTGTTTAGATCACGTCTCATTGGCATTAGAAGAGCTCCTCTGGCCGGCTGTATCCTTCCGAGCCAAATCTAGAGTGCT